CATGTAAAAAAATATGTGTTTCATCTGAGATACGACTCAAAATACGATGTTTTGACTGAACAAGATGAAGCATTGTCTAAAAACAATAGCCTATATCTCACTGCAGTGTCACTTCTGAGGTTATTACGTCTCAGGAGTAGAGACACATTCTGACTAGATGTTAGACACACATACTGGGATCAATAAAGTACTTCTTATCTTATCTTATTTTAGAGTGACGGATAAACACGTTTTTTTTTTAAATACAAGAACTAAAAGTAAACAAGAAAAAGACAAATTAGACAACAGCAATTACTTACAAAGTATACAAAATGCAGAATACAGAATACATATGTAAGCTAAAAATAATAACAATAATACAGACAAACAGAAATAAAACAAAATAAAATTATTGGTCTTTATGTGTGTCTTCGTGGTTGTTCTGAGTCACTTTTAGTATTTTATTTAGTTTGTTTGTTTGCTTTTCATAGACAGAACATCAGCAATTCAGGTTCATCTTGGTTTAAACATCGCTTAAAATACAAAATATTATTTCGCATCACTTTTTAGTCACTTTTCGCCTGTCTTTTTGGTTGTTTTGAGTGACTTTTAATCTTATTGTGTCTGTCGTACAGTGACGGATAAACACAGGTTCAACACACACCTGAGTTCAGTCAGTTATTGGTCTTCATGTGTCTCTGTGGATGTTCTTTGCTTTTCATGGACATGTCTGACATTTTTGCTCTAATTGGTCGTTTTGCGCCACTTTTTAGTCTTCTTGGCACCTAATGGCGCGTTTCCACTACAGCGCGGAGCCCCGTTTAAGAGGGCTGTGACGTCAGCGGCCCGTCTTTGGTTGCGTTTCCACTTGGCCTAGTACCGGCCGGCGGGTCCTAATTCACAGTTTTTCTGGCCTCATAAAATCGTGGTTCTAGGGCCAGAGACAACGAGGCTGAGTCGGGCTGAGTATGCTAAACTAGAGAGAGCATCGCTGGCAAGGGGGCTACAACTACAACAAGATGGACATATTTGACCGTGATTTAATTGTAATACACGTTTCAAAATGATGCCGAAGTAACAACATACTGATACCGGTTAGTAAAAACCATGAATTAATGCTTTGTCAAGTCTGCAGACAGACGGCAGGCGAAAAACCTTTTAAAATGCGTGTTTTCTGAATGGAGATTGGCTAAGCTAACGCAGTATATGATCCGACCGTCCACACTCACAACAACGGCCTATACAGACATAAATAAAGCAGCGACTGTATTCGCCATGACACAGGCAGTCTGTGGTTTGTACTTGTTTAACTTTTGTCTAGTTTCTGAACAGATATGAGGAGCTGTGAGCTCTGAGTGCTAACAGCTAACGGCTGTGTTGTTTTTCTGGGGTTCTCATTGAAGATGACGTCACGGCTCCGCCTACACTGCGTTACTATAGTTACTGCCCCAGTTCCTAAACTGTAATGGGAATGCGCCATAAAGTGAGCCAGTCCTAACGAGGCCTAGCCATACCGAGCGGGGCCGAGCGAGGCCGTATAGTGGAAACGCGCTATTAGTGGTGATTTGTGGCGTGGTGTATGTGCAGCTTCATTCTGTCACTTTTTACTCTTTTTTTTGTGCTTCTTTGGTTGTTTTTCATCACTTTTAGTCTTTTGGTGTCTTTTCATAGTCCGTGTGTCTGATTTTGGTTCACGCTTTCTGTCTTTGTGTGTCTTTGTAGTTGTTTTGAATCAGTTTTTGTGTCTTTCGGGTCGTTTGGGTTATTTCATGTCACTTTTTTCTTTTTTTGGTGTAATTGTGGTTTCTCCTCAGTTTCTGTGTCTTTTCATAGTCTTGTGTGACAAAGTAGCAGGAAATGGTAAAAACAATTATTATCAAGTATCTCAAACATTTTACTTTAGTACAAAACTGGAGTAAATGTTTCTCCCCTTAAAACAACATCCACGAGGAACACAAAGGCTTTAAGCTTAAGGAACAACATATTCAGAGGTGGGGGGGCGTAGCAGCCATTAGGATCTTCACTGTGGGGGTCTCAGCTTCCTGCTAATAGATGTTAAACTGATCCGCGGCCTTTCAGAGCCTCTGACCCCCCGGTCGAGACCAGACAAAGCGAGGACCCCCCTCCAGGGATTAGCTATGACTCGTTCATGGCCGCCGCCGCGAAGAAAGGTAGCGCCTCGTTTGCCGTGTGGGGGGGTGGAGCCTTTTGAAGGAATGAACACACACACACACACACACACACACACACACACACACACACACACACACACACACACTGTAGTTTATTTGAACTCAATCCCACACACACCGCCAAAAATACTCCCAACCGATTCATCCGGCACTGAAAATACACATTTCCCTCCTGGTTGTTTAAGAAAAACTTCAATTAAATGAATGAAAAATTAGACATATTATGGTCCTTTTCAGGGTTCATATCAGTATGTAGGTTCTCTACTTTAAAGAGTCCTTTCCTGCTGATGTTCAGGTGTATATCAGTATGTAGTGTCTCTACTTTAAAGAGTCCTCTCATGCTGATGTTTAGGTGTATATCAGTATGTAGTGTCTCTACTTTAAAGAGTCCTCTCCTGCTGATGTTCAGGTGTATATCAGTATGTAGTGTCTCTACTTTAAAGAGTCCTCTCCTGCTGATGTTCAGGTGTATATCAGTATGTAGTGTCTCTACTTTAAAGAGTCCTCTCCTGCTGATGTTCAGGTGTATATCAGTATGTAGTTTCTCTACTTTAAAGAGTCCTTTCCTGCTGATGTTCAGGTGTATATCAGTATGTAGTGTCTCTACTTTAAAGAGTCCTCTCATGCTGATGTTTAGGTGTATATCAGTATGTAGTGTCTCTACTTTAAAGAGTCCTCTCCTGCTGATGTTCAGGTGTATATCAGTATGTAGTGTCTCTACTTTAAAGAGTCCTCTCCTGCTGATGTTCAGGTGTATATCAGTATGTAGTGTCTCTACTTTAAAGAGTCCTCTCCTGCTGATGTTCAGGTGTATATCAGTATGTAGTTTCTCTACTTTAAAGAGTCCTTTCCTGCTGATGTTCAGGTGTATATCAGTATGTAGTGTCTCTACTTTAAAGAGTCCTCTCCTGCTGATGTTCAGGTGTATATCAGTATGTAGTGTCTCTACTTTAAAGAGTACTCTCCTGCTGATGTTCAGGTGTATATCAGTATGTAGTGTCTCTACTTTAAAGAGTCCTCTCCTGCTGATGTTCAGGTGTATATCAGTATGTAGTGTCTCTACTTTAAAGAGTCCTCTCCTGCTGATGTTCAGGTGTGTATCAGTATGTAGTGTCTCTACTTTAAAGAGTCCTCTCCTGCTGATGTTCAGGTGTATATCAGTATGTAGTGTCTCTACTTTAAAGAGTTCTCTCCTGCTGATGTTCAGGTGTATATCAGTATGTAGTGTCTCTACTTTAAAGAGTCCTCTCCTGCTGATGTTCAGGTGTATATCAGTATGTAGTGTCTCTACTTTAAAGAGTCCTCTCCTGCTGATGTTCAGGTGTATATCAGTATGTAGTGTATCTACTTTAAAGAGTTCTCTCCTGCTGATGTTCAGGTGTATATCAGTATGTAGTGTCTCTACTTTAAAGAGTCCTCTCCTGCTGATGTTCAGGTGTATATCAGTATGTAGTGTCTCTACTTTAAAGAGTCCTCTCCTGCTGATGTTCAGGTGTATATCAGTATGTAGTGTCTCTACTTTAAAGAGTTCTCTCCTGCTGATGTTCAGGTGTATATCAGTATGTAGTGTCTCTACTTTAAAGAGTCCTCTCCTGCTGATGTTCAGGTGTATATCAGTATGTAGTGTCTCTACTTTAAAGAGTCCTCTCCTGCTGATGTTCAGGTGTATATCAGTATGTAGTGTCTCTACTTTAAAGAGTCCTCTCCTGCTGATGTTCAGGTGTATATCAGTATGTAGTGTCTCTACTTTAAAGAGTCCTCTCCTGCTGATGTTCAGGTGTATATCAGTACGTAGTGTCTCTACTTTAAAGAGTCCTCTCCTGCTGATGTTCAGGTGTATATCAGTATGTAGTGTCTCTACTTTAAAGAGTCCTCTCCTGCTGATGTTCAGGTGTATATCAGTATGTAGTGTCTCTACTTTAAAGAGTCCTCTCCTGCTGATGTTCAGGTGTATATCAGTATGTAGTTTCTCTTCTGGGACATGTCTCCATGCTTTAATGTTCAAAAAGCTCTTTATTTTTCTCATACTGCCTGTGATGTCCCGCCCCCTTAGCCTATCACGTACAATGTGTTGGAGCGCTAGCCAATAGAAGCGCGAGTGTTACATAGTGATGTCACAAAATTAATAATAATAGTTCCACTTGAAAATCAATGTGAGAAGAAGCAGCATGATCAGGAAGAACAACTCTGAATATTTGGGTCGTACACCTCCTTGCGTTTCAGAGAATAGACTTTATTGAATTACACGTTAAGCATAAACTTTTCTATCAGTGTTTGACATTTGTTTCCACTTTTGCAAATTGATAATGTGCAAACAAACCGGGCTGATGCAACTTTGACAGTTTGACAATAATGAAGAGAGAAGAACGAAGCTCCCTAAATGTTGACCGTGATGTTTCCTAGTCGGTTATTACAGAACCAAACTTCCTGGAAGAAAGATATATCTCTAAATCTGAAATGATTGTTTGCGAAACCCCCAGCAGGGGTTTAAATAAAGTGAGGTTTGTTTTCTAACAATAACAAACAATGCCAAAGCTCCAGCGCGGCCCATCGGGAGGGGAACTGAATATGTGTGTTTCCTGACGCTGCTCACATTAAAGCGGAGCTACAAAGCGTGCGGTTCTGTGTGGACGCAGCATGGAGGCTCTGAAAGGCGTCGGTGGTCTGCATCTCGGCCCCCCGTCAGGCTGCCTCACTCTACAAATTGGAAGTCGTGGATTTGAAAAACATGTCTCTTGATCTAAAGAACATTCTCAGTCATATCCCTCCGTCTTTAAACGGCTGCTTCATGCTGCAGAGGTGATTAGACGTGTTGTTTCCCCCGCGCTCACGTACTCTCGT